TGCTGTATCTAGTTTATGTTAATTAAGTTAAGCTGTGTGTAATTAGTTGGGTATATGTACCTCTGCAGTCCAGCAGAGAGGCGGTGCCTGCTACCTGGGGTACCCGCTACTTTGAGTTCCCGCTGAGTTCACTCGCAATAAAGTAGTTCCTGCTTCAACCTTCAAGTTGCTTGTCATCTCCCAGTTATTTCGCCCAGCCGGACAACGGCATATATGAAGAAGAGGAAATAGCACATACAATACCTCCTTCTGACCCCATCCATTTTACAATATAATACAGGTAGAGTATGAGGAATAGAAAGAGAATATTCATCTCAAAGTAGGAAAGACAGGATAGGCCTTCCAAAAGGAAAATAGGAAAAATAGGTCTGTCAGGCACAGATAGGTGGAAAAAACATTCAAGGCTCTGAAATAGCAATGTGTAAAGGTATAAGGCTTAACAAGTCTTGGAGAACTATCAACAGAGTATGTTAGGGTATGTGAACACAAATTTTGCAAAAGAGGAAATACTATTTATTCACATCTTTGCTCATTTATCAACTATACATTTTAGAGTTTGTTATATCAACTTCCATGTGTTCTCTATATGTTAATATTAAGATAGTTATATTTATGGCAAAAAATTGTTAGGTTTTACTTTTGAGACATGGACTTGCTATGTTACCCTTGCTATGGTCTTGAACTCCTAGCCTCAAGCAATTCTCCAGCCTCAGCCTCTCAAACAAGTAGGACTTCAGGCACATGCAACCATAGCAGACAACATTGTCTTTATTTTTATGTAGCCAAGTATAATAATTTTGTTTGTTTTTGTCCCTTTTTTACTGCTTTTAGCCTAAAATGGATTCACCCCTAGAGATTAATAAGCATTCATTTAAAATTTTTTAAAATGTATATTTCACCTTTCTTTATATTTAATGAAATGTTAGGAATTTTAACAAAGAATAAAACAATCATACTTTTTTTTCTCACTTAATGAGATAGTTCAGTTGATCTCTTTCAATATGTCTGTTACTTACAAGTGTAAAAGAATCCTTCCTCCAAAGGTTTTTTTTTTTAATTTTTTAGTTGTAGATGGACACAATACCTTTGTTTTATTTATTTTTTATGTGGTGCTGAGGATAGAACCCAGTGCCTCACATGTGCTAGACAAGCACTCTACCACTGAACTACAACCCCAGCCTCTCCTCCAAAGATTTGATATTTTGTTTTCTCTCATTTTTTGTGTGGCTTCACTTTTAATATTTAGCATTTTACTAATCAGGAATTTGTTGTAAATCAATAACTAAATTTTTTCAAAATTACTCAATATTTATCCATTACTTATTACATAAACCCATACTTATTTTAAAAAACCTAATTAGTTCCTGTAAGAGTCTACTTTTCCAAAGCACTTCTTTCCCTTTACAAAGGTGTACTTACTTTCTATAAGAGATCCTCTGAATAATCATCAACTAACAAGAGAAATGACAGCTTTGAATAATATTTTGTATATCAGGGTTGAAAAATTTTCTTAAAATATTTTATAAATATTCTATTAGCTACAGGATAACCCAGTCACTAAATAATGTCTCATGGCTTTAGTTAGGGTTAAGGAAAGATGGTAAATAATTATAAGGAATTGGACTAAATCCTGACTGTGGTTAACGTATACTACCCTTTGTTTAATTTAGTACTAACAATCATATGGAATAAGACTGTGACTCCTAATTTAGATGAGAATGCCAAAGTTTAGACATTAATGACAGACCCAATATCAGACAACTCTACAGGTCCCAAGCTTATGCATTTCCTCCTATACTGCTAGTTCTCCACTGTGGGCAATTTTGCACCATACCTCCCAGGGGACATTTGACAAGATTTGCAGACACTTTTTGATTGTCATTACTGAAGGAGGCAGGTAGGGAAGCTACTAGTATCTCACAGGCAACCTAGGGTTGTTCCAAACATTTTGCAATACACAAGAGAATCCCTCAAAATAGAGAACAATCCTGTTCAAAATGTCAATAATGGTAAAATTCTAAACTATACTGTCTTAGGACCACTTCCCTATTTAATATTTTAATATTTAACACAGATTAATAGTAAATCTTTTTCTTTTTTGTACTGGGCATTGAGCCCAGGGGACACTTTACCACTGAGCTACACATCTCTAGTTCTTTTTATTTTACAACAGAGTCTTGCCAAGTTGCTTAGGATGGCCTCAAACTTGGGATCCTCCTGCTTCAGCCTTCTAAGTCTCTAAGATTACAGCTAATAATAAATCTTGATGAATCCCTTATAGTGTCACCTTGCAAAAATATTAAGTTGTAGTCAGTTTTAAACATTACCTTGTCAAAATCTGAATCTCTGTGATTCTCAAACTATTAAGACTAAGCTTCGGGCTTGGGATGTGGCTCAAGTGGTAGCGTGCTCGCCTGGCATGCGTGCGGCCCAGGTTCGATCCTCAGCACCACATACAAACAAAGATGTTGTGTCCGCCGAAAACTAAACAATAAATATTAAAACTCTCTCTCTCTCTCTTAAAAAAAAAAAAAAAAAACTCAGATCTTTGGAGCTTTTCTTTTTTTTCTTTTTATTTAATTTATTTATTTTTTTGTGGTGCTAAGGATTGAACCCGATACCTCACACATGCTAGGCAAGTACTCTACCACTGAGCCACAACCCCAGCCCCTCCCCATCTACGATACCATGGGAAACCACTGTAGTCACTCTGTGCTATGTGCAGCACCAACTGCATAGTCATAGCTGTAGCCCTGCTCTTACCTAGCCTTGGGGAGTTGGGATTACTACCAACCCTTCTGGCTCATCTTGATAACATGGTTAAATCCAACTTTTTGCCTGCTGTTCCTTCACCCACCCATCCAGTCCTAAATGGGTAGCTAATTGTCTCTGCAACAAAACACAATGCACATGTCTCACTTGAATTCCTGATCATCACCTTCAAGAAGGCCATTAATGCTGCCTGGAAACCCCACTCTAGTTTCCTAATCCACTCACTCTACCACTGTTCCAGACGCTGTTGGTTTTTTCACTTGTATCATTAAATTTTTCACGGTTCTCTTGGTGAGCGCCCACAAACCATCTGCTGGTAGAAACTCGCTAGGAACTGATATGAAGCATCATATTTTCTGAGGTCCATTTCCCCGGGCGCTGCCTATTGTCCAGACTATATTCCTCCAATTCCCCACAATCTCTCAAAGGAGCTTTTCTTAAAAAAAAAAAAGACTAAGCTTCACTATGTTTGAATCTATCCCATTAACTGTTCAGAAGTACATTAAAAATAAACCACTGAGGGGTGGGAATCTCATGAAAATAAAAGGGAGATTAATAGAGAAAAGGAACCAGAGGGAGTGAGGAAGCAGGGAAAGGAGAAAAAAAACAAAAAAAACACCCAATCACTCAGGCATGTATTGACAGTTACCAATTCCCTTCTCCCTCTGCCTCACTGATGGAATGTTGATCCTCACCTCTTTAGCAGGTCTCTTCCTCAGTTCCTTAAGTTCCTCAAGATGGGCTCCTTGGGCCTCTTTTCTTCTGCCACTTTTCTGTGGTCTAAGGCAAATACTTCCCCTCCCCTCAATTACCTAATCTTTAAACAAAACAATAACTAAATCTCTTGTTTCTTTACTGAGCTTAAAACCTTACTTTCTAATTGCCTGCTACATCTTAAAATTTCCAAAAGTCAACTCACTTCCTTCAGGAAACTTTCTCCTTTACTTAAGTTGCCTTTTTCTGTTCAGGATATCATACCCTGTATTGTCCTTTCAGAGGCTAGAAATGTGTCATCCTTGCTGCCTCAATCTCCCTCACTCCCATAATCACTCAATCCCTTCTATTCTACCTAAAATTTTCTCATAAGTACTATATAATGTTAACCAGAGGTAAAGCAGAGTGGTTAAGAGCTCCAAAACCAGAATAGATATGAATCCTAATGTCACAAAAAAGCTGAGTTACTTTGAGGCATGTCATTTGATCTTTCAGTTAATTGTTTCTTTTTTTTTTTTTTTTAATATTTATTTATTTTTTAGTTTTTGGCAGACACAACATCTTTGTTTGTATGTGGTGCTGAGGAAAGAACCCAGGCCACAAGCATGCCAGGAGAGTGCGCTACTGCTTGAGCCACATCCTCGGCCCCCAGTTAATTGTTTCTTATTTATAAAATGAGTATTTTTTTAAGATGAGGGTCTCACTATGTTGCCCAGGTTGCCCTTAAATTTGGCACTCAAGTGATCCTCCTACCTTAGCCTCCCAAGTCTACACATATAAAAAATGAATTTAATAGTAGTACCTATCTTTGGGGACTTATGAAGAAGCTTAATAAATTGATAGATGTCAAGTATATAGATAGCATCTGGAAAATAGCAAGCTTAAATATTAGTTGTTACTGATTTTATTGTTAGCGGCTAAGTTAAGTACTCTCAAAGGTTATCTTCTGAGAATGCAATTGGGAAAAAAAAATCACAAAGATTTAAAACACATGAAGCCCTCTACCACTGAGCCACAACCCCAGCCCTAACTGTTAATAGTTTGAGAAATCATTCTCTACAATGGGAAAGGACCTTGTTTGTGGATCAGGAATATTTTACTTACAATTTGATTTTCTATGCATATCTGACACAAAGGGGATTAGGATGATCACAAAATATGAGTACCTAGTTTGCTTGATATTTATATTTCTCAATGTAAATTAATGATTCAATGTTACTTTTTGAACACCTAAACCTGTTCCTTTTAAAGTTCTTTATATTTCAGCACTTGCTTCATTTATTCTGCCTCCTGATTGCTAGTTGTTGTTTTTTTGTTTATCTCTTCCAACACGCTATAAGTACTTTAAAGTATATTAGTATTCCTAGTTCCCTTTTTCCATTTTCTACAGTGAAAATTTAAGTTTGTTATTAAGTTTATTCTTAAATGTTTGATGGACAAAGGGATGAATAATAACATGTGATTATTCTCTTCTCAAGTAGAATCTGAAAAGTGAACACAAAGATTGTACTTACTTTATTCTTTTCATTTTGAATAATTGCTATTAGTTGGTCCGTGTGCCCTTCTTCTATACATCTCTGGCCTGCTAACTGAAACAGGCCAAAATCTTCTTCTTTAAAGTCATGCTCTTCTAGAATTTGCTGAAAAAACAAAATAAACAAAAGAATAAGCATATGCAAATAAAAATTCAGTATGACAACTTCTTAATTTATTTTCTTTCTTTGTAAAAAGGGAAATGTTTAAATCCTAGATAAATTGTTTGAAATTTAGGATTATAATAATTACTAAGTGATTTTGAAATCTACTACATATCAAAGAATCCTATGAAAAGGATCAGCATCAAAATTAAAAAGGTTATTTAGATAAGGATATCATCTGTACAAATAATCCAATCTGCTGTCCTGTCCTCATGCTATTTATTTACCAGCCAAAAAAAAGCAAGGATTAAAGAAGATAAGTAATCTGAGTAACCACAAGAGTAATTAAAAATGATGTCCTTCCCATATTTTAAAAGAAATTTTACACAAAAGAAAAAAATTACTTACACATCTTTTAATTATGGACTGAAGTTCCTCCACAGCCATTCCTAATTATTATTTCTAGTTTTGATGCTGAAATGAATTAATATAAAAAGTTAACTGATATTGTTTCATTTTGTTCAATTATTAGAAAACATTATAAGGAAAACGTAAAGTTTTACTATTAGTGAATGTTAGTATGTTCACTTAAGAAAGTAATTTTGCTTTGGAAAAAAAAAAAAACAACTCTATTGCATCTTTTTAAGAGCATAGTTTTGAAAGAAAGAACCCTCTGGAGCATTCCCTAGAGGACAGGCAAATATGCTTTTAAAAGGCAAAGTATTTCTTTCCTGAAAAAAAAAAAAATTCCACAACTTGGGCCTAAAATGAAAATCGTAATCATTGGGGAAATTTTTATTTTTTAGTGTCCCACGACAAAAACTGGAATTCAATACAAGTCACCCAAAGGGGGCTGAAAGTTCAAACGCCCTCCACCCCATTTCACTGTAGGAGCTGCACTCCCCCAAAGTAAATCACTCCAGTCAGTGAAACCGCCATATCACACCGAGACAAGGCAATTGGCAGTCCTCAGGAGAACACCATCCGGATACCGCCGAACACCGGTTTCTCGAGGCGAGAAGGCTCGGCCCCCAGTCTGCGGCAGTAAGTGCGGCACTGCGGGTCCTCTAAGGAGGAGAACACCCTAGCGCGCTTGTAGGCGGCATCCAGAGGAAGCCATTTCTCCCGACTCCTGCTGTACTAGGCGTTCTGGTCCCACCACCTCGCGGGGCCTAGTCACTCACCGTGCCGCTTCCCCCATCGCTCGCCGCGCACAGCTAGCCAGGACCCCCTTAGACCTCCCGGTGTGGTCACTTACCCGCCGGACCTCACGGTGCGCTTAAGCAGCAGCCACCACTTTGGACCCCGCAGGCCGCGCTCCGGCCCCGCCCCCGGGCCCGCCCCGGCCCTTGCGACGCGTGTGGAGGCGGAGCTTGGCGGGGGACGCCGGAGGCGGCCCCTGACCTTCTGACGAAGCTTCCCCATGGCTGACTGGGGTCGGCCGCGCTCAGCTGGCCAGAAGGCCCGGGGTCCCCGCGCCTCCCGGAAAGCTGCAGGTAGGAAGAAGGGTCCCTTCCCATGTTTGGTTCCTGAGAGCTGGACCCTGGCCTAGCTCCAGGCAGAGGCGTGCGGAACGCTCTCGAAAGGCCGCTCCAGGGAAGGTGGGGTGGACCCAGGAGTTGAGAAAGCCGAGAGCTTCCCACCGCGGTCTTTTCGACTTCCCGCCGGGATCCCCTTGCCTCTTGGCAGATGTTTCAGGATTTCTCCCAGCATGCGCTGTGGCTACTTCCCGCTGAGGGGAAGTGCGGGGAGGTGTTGGGGAACCCCAGGGAGCAAGTAAATGACCTGGGCAGCCTCAGCATTGTCAGGCAGTGCGGCTGGCCTTGATCTCTCAACTGGACCTTTCAGACAGCTTTCATGCCCAGTTCCAGGGAGTAAGGGACTCCCCTGCTACACCAGTAGTAAACGTTTGGGAAGTGAAGATGTTTCCCTCTTAAAGTACTCAGTTCTCGAATTTGGGGGAGCACTTAATTAACGAAGCAACTGTGATACATAAGAAAATTCAATCTCTAAAGAGATACATTTTAACAAAGAAAAATTGGAAAGTAATGCACAAAAACAAATTGTACTCCCTATTTCATTTTGATTTACACACAGCATTGGAAATGAAATATGTGGACAAGAAGAAAAGATGACTATAGTTTGTTATTTGGACAGGAATCTCTACCTACCGTTTGTGTAGACTTGACCTGTGTGATGCGCTGTAATCCCAGCGGCTCAAGAGTCTGAGGCAGGGGGATCACAAGTTTGAGGCCAGCCTGGGCAATTTAGTGAGACCCTATTTCAAAATTTAAAAGAATAAATAAAAATGACTGGAGATATAGGTTAATGGTAAAGCATTCTTGGGTTCAATCCCCAACATACACACAAAAAAGGTGACCTATTTTTTTTAAATTGTAGGTACTAAAGAGACAAGTGTCTTGAAACAAGAAGATGCGTTTAAAAGGTGAGTACTGTTTAGACAAGAGCATTCACTGTTATATTAATTGAACCAATTTTAAAAACAATAATAGCTACTTATTTTGGAGAAAAGTGTCATGAGAGGGAAGAGGAAGATCTGGTAAGCACTATAAACTCTTATAGGCTGTTACATCCCTCTACTCTAGGTTTTAAGAAAACCAAACTGGAGACTGCCGGCATTCTGAGACAGGTGTATTTGTACAAAGATGTTGTGGGAACAGTGTTCTTGAATTTACAGATACTCCTTTCCCACCTCTTCTGGTCTCTTTTTTATGTTTATTTTTTAGTTGTGGTTGGACACAACACCTTTATTTTATTGATTTATTTATTTTTATGTAATGCTAAGGATTAGACCCAGGGCCTCGAAGTGCAAGCGCCTCTACTGCTGACCCACACCCCTAGCCCTTCAGGTCTGTTTTTACTGGTATATAAGCCAGAAACTCACTGTCCAAGTTTCTCTCATTAGCACTCCAAGAAACTTTTTTTTTTTTTTAATTATATCAAGTCCATATTTTCATCAAAAAGCTGTCCTGTACTGTCTTTTTTTTTTTTTTTTTTTCTGTACTGTCTTTTGGCTCCTAAAAAGACAGGACAGTGCTGGGACTGGGGCTCCCACCTGTAATCACAGCAGCTGGGGAATCATAAGGCAGGAGGATTTTTGAGTTCAAAGCCAGCCTCAGCAAAAGCAAGGCAATAAGCAACTCAGTGAGACATTGTCTCCATATAAAATACAAACTAGGTCTCGGGATGTGGCTCAGTGGTCAAGTGCCCCTGAGTTCAGTCCCCAGTGTCTTCCCCCCACCACCCTGTCGGGGGAAAAAAAAGGCGAGATAGTGTCTCAGGCTCATGTCACAAAAATATTTCTAGAATAGGAGTAGTCTATGATGGAGATAAGATATATATCTATGACTTCCACTTTATAAAAACTCACTAATCTGTATTGACTTTTATCTTAATTTACTCATTTTTTTCCCTAAAGTTATTTGCTGATTGTAAGATATTCCAGTCTTGCATTAGGTCCTGAGGATATGGTGTTGAACAAAATAGACACAGTTCTTGTAACCACTTGAACAGAGAAACATCAGTTAAGCTAACACAAATAAATATATAATTACAAATTTTGATATGTGCTATGAAGAGAAAGATTAATGTTATGAGGAGAAACTAATTACAGAAGTTCAATTTAGATGGGGATTGGCTGTGGGTTTTCAAGGAAAAGCTCTCTGAGGAAGTAATAATTAAACTGAGACCTGAAGGCTAAGCTTGCATTAACCATACAGAGTAGCCACTTCAAAAAAAGATGCCTGGGGCACAGGGCTCAGTGGTGCATGCCTGTAGTCCTAGTGGCTCGCTTGCTCGGAAGGCTGAGGCAGGAGGACTTCAAGTTGAAAGCCAGACTCAGCAAAAGCAAGGCGCTAAGCAACTGGGTAAGGCCCTGTCTCTAAATAAAATACAAAATGTGTCTGGGGATGTGGCTCAGTGGTTGAGTGCCTCTGAGTTCAGTCCTCAGTACAAAAAAAAAAAAAAAAAAAAGATGCCTGGGATGATCTGGGATGATGTGTGCATTTGGGCAAGGGAAAAAAGGAGCATAGGAAAAGGTTAGAAGCAAAATTCTTCACATAGTACCTGGTAGGTCATGGTGAGAAATTAGGTTGTCTAGTTGCAGATGGGAAAACTTAATGAAGTAAATGTTGAAGACAACAGGCTGAGAATCATCTAAGAATGGAGAAACTAGATGGATTCAAAATCTGTTTTGGAAAATAGTTCCCTGCAGAGTAGCACCATATTAACTGGGCTTTAGGAAACATTACAAGAGTAAAATTTAATTAATATTGATTATGGTGGTGAATTGCAACTCTTCTCAATGTTGATCTGACCATAGACCTTACAATTTGAAGAATATAGGTAAGCCAAAATGTTTTTTGGGTTGTTTTGTTGTGATGCAGTACTGGGGATCAAACTCAGGGCCTCTTGCATGACAGACAAATATTCTACTGATGAGCTACATCCCCAGCCCCAGCTGAAATGTATTTTGAGTAGGTCACTGAGGGTTATGAAACAAGCATTCATGGGAATAACCAAATCATTGAGAGGAGTGCCCCTCAATAAATTTATTCCAACTTAAAAATTCTTCTACATTCAACCAGCTAAATACCATTAAGACAGACATTGAAGAGGTTTGCAAAAATATAACAGTTCTACTCATCTCACAAAATTTTTCATTTAAAAATGTTAACATGTAATAGGTTGATAACATTTTTAACATGTAATAGGTTGATAAAGGAATTAATAAATAAATACTTTTAAGTTTTCTCAGTTTGAATCCTAATGTGGTAAATGTTGACACATAAAATGCATGTATGCAAAAGTTCTAATTTTAATAGTGTAAAGGAGTTCTTAGACCAAAAAGTTTGAGATTTGCTTCTACACACCACACTGCTTATCATTTGTGACAGAAGGTCACAATAAGACAGGAAACAGCTCTAGATATCTGTCAATTAAGAGGAGTATGGCTCAGGTGGAGGTGGTTATGACTTGAGTCAGAAATTCCTTAATGCAGGTTGTATGTATACTGATCTTAGTACGGGATGTGGCTTTTGTTGGTAGGCAGCAAAATGAGAAAAATTTTTTAAAATAAGTTTTTCATGAAGCTAAATGTGTTCAATAAAAGATACCTGTCATTTAATTTTTTTGTACTTATTTAATATAAAAAAAGATGTTGCAAGGCATAGTGGTACATGCCTATAATCTCAGAGATTTGGGAAACTGAGGCAGGAGGATTACAAGTTCAAAGCCAGTCTCAGCAACCTAGCAGGGCCCTACACAACTTAGTGAGACCCTGTCTCAAAATAAAATGATCTGGAATGTGGCTCAGTGGCTAAGCACGCTTGGGTTTAATCTTTGGTAACAAAAAAAGAAAAAATTATCTTTATGAAATGATGTGTGAATCAGTGTTGTCACAAAATTCTTGTTTTAATGTCCATATTTGACAAAGTAAGTTGTTGACAAAACTGTCAGATTGTTTCTGGAAAACATTGCTGGGAATGAAAGTCTAAAAGTCTTGGAAGTCAATGAAAAGTAGAATGGATGAAGACATTCTGGGTCCAGTTGTAAGAATTAAGGACCAGGAGGCCAGCAAAGGTAGTTCTGATAGGTAAGTAGAAACCAGTGCAAGAAAGGAACAAATGAGTCACTAGGAAGGTTGATCTCCTTGGTTCTATGGCAGTGACTCAACCCTGTTGAAAAGTAATAATCAGGCCCCATTCTCAGGGATTCTGATTTAATTACCTTACAGTGGGAACTGAGCAGCATTTTAGTATCTCGTTTTAAAAAATCTCCACAGACAATCCTAATGTGTAGCTGGGACTGAGAATCACTGTTGATAGGTCTATCTTTTGATTAGATAGTCTGTGTTTTTGAGTTCTGTAATATATGGGGGCAAGCAAAGGCTGACAGAGCCCTGCTGATAGCAAGAACAAGCCCTCCCAGGAAGACTTTTCTTTACCTAAGCCATACATTCCTATCAATACAATTATTTAACAAGACCTCACAACAAGAATAAGTAGTTACTGTTCTTTCAAGTTTGGCGGACCATCAGTTAATTTTTGAGACTTAACAAAAACACAAATTTCTACTTAGAAATTATCTACTTTCTAGTGTCTTCTGATATTTGGCTCTTTATCAGAGAAAAATCCTTTTTTTTTTTTTTAAAGGTACCTGTGGGATAGAGTGTACCTTAAAATTGGTAGAGTATAAACTAGCAGGCAGAAAAAATTCACATTATTTTCTTTCCTTTAGGAGTCTCTAAAATGCTTCTTTTTTGCTCTTTATCAGGGAAATAGTCCTTATGGCTGACTTCTGTGTACATGGTGCAACAAATAGTTTGTTTCTTTTTTGAAAAGTAACCGCATTAAAGAATGTAAACTGGCAAAATAGGTTAGTGTTGGATTTTAAAACATGAAATATTATAAGCATGAAAAAACTTTTTATGAGATTAACCTCATTAATTTTTTAGGAAAACAGAACTAGAAGCAGCTGTGAAAAAGAAGATTGAGTTTGAGAGAAGAGCTCTACATATTGTTGAACAACTTTTAGAAGAGAATATTACAGACGAATTCCTAATGGAATGTGTATGTGTTAAGTGAACAAATTATTAGTTTTATAGTATAATATCTTCAAATCTATACAAAATGAGACTTCTTTGCATTGTTGAAATCTTTAAATCTGATGTCAGTCATTACATACATGTAATGTGCTTTTGTAATTCATGCATTTTTAAATAACCAGCTATCCTAATATTATTATATAATGATTTTAAAATGCATTAATGAAAAATAGCAAGTATATAGCAAGATTACTATAGTTAAACTAATGTATATTTTAAAGTTGCTGAAAGAGTGAATTTGAAATTTTCTCATTACAAAGACTTACCTGAGATGATGGATGTGTTATAACCTGATTTGTTCATTCCACAATGTGTATGTGCTCTAAAACATTTGTATCCTATGAGTATGTATAATTACTATGTCAATTAAAAATAAAACATTTAGGAAAAAAAAAGTACATTTTGATCCTTAGTTATAGTTCTTTTAACCAGTCTGCTGATATAACTTCATTTTTTCTTCCCTTTGACTAATGATCACAATGTCAATTTTCTGATATTCTGTATATAGTACTATTTTAAGTAACAGATTATTTTTTGTGAATGTAATTCATTTTGATATCTTTAAGACCTGAAGTATAGATCATTTATGACTTAAAACAAAATAATTTGCATTAAATTTTTAAATAGCTTTATTAAAACTTTTAATGGAAATTTCTTTAAATCCTCATAATCTATTATAGAAAAAAAATTAAGTTTCTATTACAAAAGTAATTTTTAGTGTAGTTCAGGGATTTTTCCAAAACAAGAATATGAACATGACAATATTTAAATTAATATAGGTAACTACATCAAAATCTGCATATATGATGATGCTGAACAAAATAAAGACAAACCAGAAATGTTTCATTTGAGGCAAAAAAACATGTCACTCTCAGTAAAGACTATTTCAATCCCTATAAAAACCATTTGAGACCCAGTCTCAAAATAAAAAAAGCAGGGGACGGGGGATGTAGCTCAGTGGTAGAGAGCACTCCTGACTTCAATCCCTACTTCTGAAAAATTTTTTTTCAAAGTTAAAAACAAGAATTAAATTTATTTATGCATGAATATATTTGGTGTTAGCTTATTAACCATTCTATATTGTTTTTTCGAAAGCAGGAACATTTGCACAAAAATTTGTGCAGGAGTTACATATTTTACCTATCTTAAAAATAGATAAAATTACATAGTTCTAGTACTTCATGTGGTTTATTTTTTTTAAAAAAGTACTTGCTTAAAAGATACTATCATTTAGTGTTGGTATAGCACCACTTCTTCCTGCTGCCTCAAAATAATTTTGTCAACTGTATAATCTACAAAGATGCCTATACTTTGTAGTGGTGGAAGTTTTTGTTTTTTAATAATAACTAACATTTTTTTGATTGTATACTATAAATTAACACTTCTGAGTGCTTTTTATTTTCTCCTCTAATTCTAATTTTAGACTTATTAGGTAAGTACTATTGTTGCTCCTGTATTTTTAGATTAGATTGATGAGTAAAGATCAATTTCTTTTCCATTAATCTGGAAGAAAATGCCTCTCTGGTTTCATTACAGGGGAAGTTCATCACACCTGCTCACTACAGTGATGTCGTGGATGAGCGTTCTATTATCAAACTCTGTGGTTATCCTTTGTGTCAAAAGAAGCTGGGAATTGTAAGTAACTGTTTTAAAATTATAGCCTTTGTCTGATTTTTAGCAAAATGCTCTATGGAAAGAAAACAAAGTGAAACCTGAGGTAATGAACTGATGTCATGGCTTAGTCAAAAATATGATAGGTAGATGACTTAAATTTGTAATCGAAGTTCATGTTAATTTTTTTTGTAAGCTATGCTTTCTTTTCTTTAGGTACCAAAACAGAAGTATAAAATTTCTACCAAAACCAATAAAGTCTATGATATTACTGAAAGAAAGGTAAGTTCAATAGCTATTTTCAATGTGGTAGTTAATTCTTATTATGATATAAACTAGAATTTAAAAATAACTTTATAATCTTGCCTGTTAGAAAATAACCATGTTAAAAGTTTATTTGTAAATATTTCAACCAAGGCACTAAAAACAATTCCTTGCTTAAGCTTTAATTAAGACTTCAGTATATATTGGCACAAATTATATATAGATTGTGTACAATAAAACTACATAGTAGCACAATTCAAGGTAAGTAAATCATAGAATAGAGAACCAGTACACTCAACACAAATGTGGATACTTGATATGTGGCAGTGGGAGTATTATAGTTCAGTGAAGGAATGACGGCTTTTTCCATAAATAGCACTAACAGTTATCTAGATAAAAAATGAAAAATATATACAAACCAGGTGAAATAAAGACTTAAATATGAAAGGCAGACATACATTTTTTCCATCAGGGATTTCCAAAAAGTGAAAAGATAAGCCACAAATAAGAAGTTATATTTCCTACATATAATCTGACCACAGATTCACACTGAGAATATATAAGCTATAAGAAAAAGAGAGCAAAATTAATAGAAGACTGTTGTACAATTAACTTGAATGGCTATTGAACATATAAAAAGATCTTGCTCAGTCATTTTAGTTATCAGGGAAATAGCAAATAGCAACACATCAAATTACATTTTTCAATCCCAAAAGTAGCAAAATTTTAAAAATCTGATAATATTTGAAACTCTTTATGTTGCTTGTAGTAATAAAAATTTGGTATTTATCTGGTAAAGTTGACTTCACTATAGCATCCCCAGGGCCTCATGCATGCTAGACAAGCACTCACCCCTAAGCTATATCCCTACCAGCTTTGCACTTTGTTTATGACCAAGTCTTTCTATTCCTTTGTACATACCTTAAAGAAGTTTTTGTCCATATGCACTATTAATAATATATATGTATAAGAATGTTCACAATGGGAAAAACAAAATGTGGCATATGCGTATTATGGAATATTATTCAGCTTTAAAAAGGAAGTAAAGTTTGATGCATACTATGATATGGATAAACCTTGAGGATGTTATGCTAAGTGAAATAAGCCTGCACAAAAGGAAATATTATGATTCCACTTAGGTATCTAGAGTAATGAAATTCAAGAGACAGGAAGCAGAATGGTGATCGATAAATGAGGAATTAGTTCAGCAAAATAGCAGGATATAAAATTAACACCTATAAATCAAAGGCATTTCTGTATATCAGTGACAAATCCTCTGAAAGGGAAATGAGGAAAACTACCCCATTTACAATAGCCTAAAAAAAAATAAAATGCTTCTGAATCAACTTAATGAAAAAGGTGAAAATCTGTACAATGAAAACTATAGAACCCTACAGAAAGAAATCAAAGAAGACCTTAGAAGATGGAAAGATTTACCTTGCTCTTGGATAGGCAGAATTAATATTATTAAAATGACCATACTCCCAAAAGCACTGTACAGATTTAATGCAATTCCAATCAAAATCCCAATGGCATTTCTTATAGAAATATAAAAAGCAATCATGAAATTCATCTGGAAAAATAAGACACTCAGAATAACTAAAGAAATCCTTAGCAGGAAGAGTGAAGCAGGTGGCATCACTATACCAGACCTTGAACTATACTACAGAGCAATAGTAATAAAACCAGCATGGTATTGGCACCAAAACAGACTGGTAGACCAATGGTATAGAATAGAGGACACAGAGACTAACCCACAAAATTACAATTATCTTATGCACAAAAAAACATGCATTGGAGAAAGGGTAGCCTCTTCAACAAATGGTACTGTGAAAACTGGAAATCCATATGCAACAAAATGATATTAAACCCCTATCTCTCACCATGCACAAAACTGAACTCAAAGTGGATCAAGGACCTAGGAATTAAACCAGAGATTCTGTGTCTAATAGAAGAAAAAGTAGGCCCTAATTTTCATCATGTGGGATTAAGCCCCAACTTCCTTAATAAGACTCCTATAGCATAAGAATTAAAACCAAGAATCAATAAATGGGATGGATTCAAACTAAAAAGTTTCTTCTCAGCAAAAGAAATAATCTGTGAGGTGAATAGAGAGCCTACATCTTGAGAGCAAATTATTACCACTCATACATCAGATAGAACACTAATTCCTAAGGTATATAAAGAACTCAAAAAGCTAAGCACCAAAAAAACAAATAACCCAACCAATAAAAGGGTCAAGGACCTGAACAGACACTTCTCAGAAAAGGATATACTATCAATCAACAAATGTTGAAAAATTTTCATCATCTCTCGCCATTAGAGAAATGCAAATCAAAACTACTCTAAGATATCCTCTCACTCCAGTCAGGATGGCACTATTATGAAGACAGACAGACAGTGTTGGTGAGGATGTAGGGAAAAAGGTACACTCGTACATTGCTGGTGGGACTGCAAATTGGTGCAACCAGTATGGAAAGCACTATGGAGATTCCTTGGAAAATTAGGAATGGAACCACCATTTGACCCAGCTATTTCTCTTCTTGGTCTATCCCCAAAGGATTTACTACAGGGACACAGCTACATCAATGTTTATAGCAGCACAATTCACAATAGCTAAATTGTGGAACCAACCTAGATGCCCTTTAGTAGATGAATTAATTAAAAAATGTGGTGTATATACATAGTGGAATATTACTCAGCAGTAAAAGAGAATAAAATCATGGCAATTGCAGGTAAGTGGATGGAGTTGGAGAAGATAATGCTAAGTGAAGTTAGCCAATCCCCAAAAAACAAATGCCGGTAGGGAGGGGAGGAGGCATGGGTGTAATAGACGAACTCTAGATAGAGCAGAGGGGGTGGGAGGGGAATGTATTCCACTGTCATTTATTTTTAAAAAATCAATAAAAAATAAATGGGGAATTAGTATTTGATGCATATAGAGTTCAGTTTTGTAAGATGAAAAAACTTAATGCTGGTGATGGTTGTATGACAATATGAACTACACAAAATGGATAAGATGGCAGATTTTACATTGTATTTATTACAATGAAAAATTTTTATTATAAAAATGTTGATATTAACATTGAAATGATTGTAAAAAATTAGAAACGATTGTCTATAAACAATAAAATTTAATATATTAACACAATAGAATCTCAAATGTAGCAAAGATGGGATGTTATAATTACATGAATAAGTCTTAGAAACATGATTTTGAACTGAAGACAAGAATATGTAACAGCATTATTCCACTTAAAGTTTAAGAAGAGGCAAAACTGAATATGCTTTATGGGGATATGGGTGTAGGTGGTAAAAACTAGAGAAAGGGGCTGGAATTGTGGCTCAGCAGTAGTGCTCTTGCTTAGCACGGACGGGGCCTGGGTTCGATCCTCAGCACCACATAAAAATAAAGGCATTGTGTTGTGTCCATCTATACCTAAAAAATAAATATTTAAAAAAATTAGAGAAAAACAGGGAATGATTAACATCAAATTAGGATAGTTTTTACTTTTAGGGAATATAGGTGGCCATGGGGTGGAGCCCATAGAAGCCTTCAAAGGCACTTTACCTTATTTCTTACCTTAGGTTGGTGTTCAAAGATTAGTGGGGTTTTGTTTTAGTCTTTAAACTGCACATTTATGTCTTATACTCTATTGTATATAGGTTACATTTCATAATAAGAAAAATAACTAGTTTTAAAATGTCTTTTTCAGTCTTTTTGCAGCGATTTTTGTTATAAAGCATCCAAGTTTTTTGAAGCACAAATTCCCAAAACTCCAGTATGGGTTCGAGAAGAAGAGAGGTAATTTAAATCATTATATATGCACATTTGTTCATATATGTACTAATTTCTGCTCTTTGAGATAAGCTGAAAGTAGATCTGGTTTTGTCTAGATTGTTAAAATTTTACATGCTTTAATTGTGATGAAATAGTTATATTTTGAGCATAGTTATTAAGGATTTTACATTTAAAATCAGAAAACTTACACATGCAGATGTTATTTACTTGTTTTGTTTGCTATTTTAGCTTTATTCACAAAACTAGAACTTCAACTGGCTTCCTGCCGTGCCAGAAATGTCTATGAATCTTGTTACTATAATAATCCTGAATTAAGAATATTAAATTTTTTCAGAAGATACTAGGTTTTGTTGTTAGGAAACTATGTACTAAGGTTCATATTTTTTTGAAAACTCATTTAATCTTTGTCAAAATTAGTATATTGTATCATAAATTTAAAGAAAGTTTATTAAAGTCATTTTTGCAAGGAAGTTTATGGTCAATGCAAGAGTCTTACCACTTGATAAATACTTAGACACTTGCAATATTTTACTAGGTAATGAATATTGAGAGTGAAATGCCATGATAATGTAACAGAGATAACAAAATTATCATAGTAATTAAACTATGTTATCTAGAAAGTCCAAACAAAGGCTCAAAGAGATAAATAATATTCCAAATAATTTATATTTGGAAAAGAATGTTGCAACAGTCAAAGAGAGTATAATTTGTGATAAGACAGTAAAGATCTATGCTAATAAATACATTAAATATAATGAGATGCAGTTAATTAAAGAGTTTTGTCCCTCCTCCCAAAGAGAAAATCCTTAATGTCTCATCCTTAAAGTCTCATCTGATGAAGCTGACATGACACCACTCTAAATTCAACCAGCATCATTTATAGTTACAACAGTATCTTTAGTGACAGACACCTTTGCCTTCTAATCCAATACTCTGTGACTTAGAATATGTAAAACATAACACTTTTTGACCTTAATTGAATTGTATATAATGAAGACTAAATTATTCATCATTTCACCACCAACCTTCAGCTTTATTTAGAGGATAAAACATTGTGGTATTGTCCAGGGTAACTAGAAAAGCACTTTGTTTTTCACTTTCTTTTTCCCATTTTAATTATGTCTTTCACTAAAGACGCTCATTACCACCTCAGCCCTACAATAGCATATATTCCATTCCCCACTAAGATCTATGTTTCTTAAATTATCCTTTGTTTACAAACAGTCCTTTTCTTCTTATTAAATTTAACCCTCTGTGTTATCCTTATGTTTGCTTCAAAGCCATTTACCAAACCACCATGTCTATTTTTTTTAAACATAGTTATTGGTACTTGTATAAGCTAATTTAAAAGGTTTTCCTCTAACCTTTTCTTAAAATCTTACCATTCTATGTTCAAAGGTCTATTTTTTCCCAAAACTTGAAACTCGGTCACTTTATATTTGTGATTCTAGAAATCCTAACTTGTTCTCCTTTCCCCACATCACTAAAAAAGAAAGATGAAAATGGTCTTTTATTTTCCCTAACATAAAATAATCAAATTACATTAAAAATGTGCAGTATGAGCTTTGTACCTGGCAGGCCACGCATACAAGGATAAACCCAACTTGAGAATTTTAACAGTAATTGAGAGGACAGAACAAACACACGATTGAAACACGTTTTTACTAACTTTAATGGGAACATGTAATCTAAATTAGCAAGGTTAGGACATTGCTTAATGAGAAACTGTAAATTGGGAAAAACCTCATCAGAGTGGCTTGGAGTATTGAATATTGGCTCACTTGAACTAAGGAATATACATGTCATTGTTTTTCCTGTTTTAATTTCTTTCAATTTAATTTTTATCCATGGTTTCACTTTCTGTTGTTTCAGTTACCCATGGTCTATTGAAGTCTGAAAATATTACATGGAAAATTCCAGAAATAAACAATTCATAAGTTTTAAAATACACACTATTCTGATTAGCATGATAAAAATCTCACACCAGTTTGTTCCCTTCTGCCTAGAACATGAAGCATCCCTTTTCCAGACTGTTCATACATACACACTTCTTACTGGTCTCTTAGTCACTTCGTAGCTACACAGGGAAAAACACAGTATATATAAGATTTGATACTATTCATGGTTTCATGCATCTGGGAGTGGGGCACTTGAATAAATTCTCCACAGTTAGTGGGGACTACTTATGTATTGGGAGAAAACATAATATTAGGCAAGTAGTAAGAAGCAATATATCCTCAGTCAAGTACAGTCAAGCTCTCAGGAGCCATCTAATGTTTTTGAGCAAAACTTAAACTAGGTTAGCATACAAGATAAGAACCATATTTAAAAGATCCTAAAGGATCCTTAGATTTAATCCAACCTTCCATTAAACAAGCTCAGAAAGATTAAGTATACTTAAGAGTGACAGATTCTGAATGAGGCCAACAGTATTTATTATATTCCACTTGATTAGAAGAATTGAAATCTTATACGTTTTTCCCATTGTTTATAGTATAACTATAGCCCTTAATTACATATAGCACTTACCAGTTTTATAACCATACCAGTATTTTTCTATCTGGATGAATTAACATTACCTTAATTTCTGGATAATTCTGGGAAAGAATTCTGCCAGTGTTATTTAATGAATCCACTTGAATCCACTAGAGGTCACTGTTTTTTCAGAGACTGTTTTCTTTTTTTTAAATGTGTAACAAGTATCAGAGTTCTAGAATTTGTTATTCTTAAAAGCTTGTATAGCTATTGCACACATAAGTTTTACAGAAAAGAGATATTTTAAAGTCTTTTCACATATGGTATGGGGTACAGTGTTCAGAATCAATTTTTTAAAGAGAAAAAATGATCTCTTAAATGGTAGCACTTAGTATTTAATGCAAATATTTTATTGACTTACAGTAAGTCATAATAATTATAAGAACTGCATTATAGTAGTAATTTTAATAATCAATTTTAAAATTTTAAATCCATTCAAAGAATTAGATATCTTATTGTAATGAATTGCAAACTTTTAGATCACTATAATAAATTCATTTTTATCATGGCCTAATATATGCATATAGGTGAAAAAAAGATTTATGCAATACCTCTGTTATTTTCTACTTTTTTACTTTTGTAAAATGCTGATAGCAGCTTATTTAATTGATTGGTCCTGATATATAGCTTTAAGAACCCTGTTGTATTATATCTAGCTTATATTTTTAGTTGTTTAATATAGGAAAGGAACTTATCATCACTAGACCTCAGTTTCCTCATTTGTAAAAGTAGAAAGTTGCATTTAGCTTCTTGGTTCCTTTTAATTCTAATGCTTTACAGTTTTAAGTCAGTTATGTCTTTTTTTTTTTTTCAGTGTGTCTATAGTTACTGCTGCTATGATTAGTGGTTTCTAGGTAAGGAAATGTCTTATTTGTAAAAGTGAAGAAAATTAAAATTACCAGGATAAGATGAGAGAAACTTTATTACTATCTTGTAACAAAGTTTGTCTGACTTAAAAATTTAATGTAAAAGTTACCAGCTTTAGTAATATGTACTCTTTAGTTTATAAAAACAGAGTGATAAGGGATTGGATCAAAGTTTTTAAATTATAGAGGGGAAAGGATATTTTTGAGTATGTCCTGAACAATTTGAAGTTGTCCTCTTTAGGGACTCCTCAGTTTTATATTTGGAAATCAAATCAATTTGATTTTTCTTACATTATAGTGAATGTTAATTTAAGTTAATATATCTTACAATATTTAAAAGCTAGTAGTATCCCTTAAAATTTATAAGGTATTACTTTATACCACAGTAAATTCACTATCTGAAGGATAGAGATGTATAAATGATTTAAGAACGGTTTAGACAAATTCATAAACTTTAGCACCACACTTTTCATCAAGACTTTGAAGTCAAAAGGAGCCTTGGAGTCTTTTTAATTCTTAGTTTTAAGGTATGAAAACATACCTGGAGTATACCTCTTAAGTCACAGAGAACAACAATGCGTCTCACAGAATGTCTCCTGATTCCCCGTAAGAGAAAAAACATTGACCTAGAATGGTTTGGGTCATAATGCAGTATAATGAGACCCACATTGTGAGTTCGAAATTTTTTTTTACCCACTTGGTGACCAGAAACAGACCACATATAGTTTTGATGCTCTGAGAGAGTATGCTCATTTAGACAGGCATATGCTTGCATTTATAAATCCTCTTAGGTTAAACATAGACTCTAACAAGTCTTTGAAGGAGGGAATTATGATGTAAAATCTACAATCTAAGAAGAAATGACAAATTTTGAAAAGCAAATTATAATTTTAAAGATCTAACTGGGGTGAATAGTTAATGCTGACAGAGCTAAAGGCGCCATCATGTGGCCCAGAGTAGGGGATTTTCACACACCATTTCTTGGCAATAAACAGTATAATCTCAGAGGTGCGGAAGCCAAAAACCTCTGCAGAACAACTTTTATAACCTCTTCCTGAACAGCCACCTCTTTTGCTCAGTTTGCAGAATAAAAGCTTTGTGAACAGATTTTAATGTGTCTAAAATACAACTGAAAAGTTCCCACCACAGGGGAGAATTATAGCCTGTTTCTTCTCTTGGTTTCTATGATATATATATATATATATATATATATATATATATGTATATATATATATTTGAATTGTGTATACACATACACACAAGTACATACATACACAAAGCATAAATCATTTTAGGTTTACTTTGCTAAAGTTTAATCATCTAAATTATGACTTAATGAAAATATTTATGAAGATCATTTTGAATGTATTCTTTAACTAAGATGGTTACTTATTTTGTTTTTCAAATTAGCTTTCAGAACTGACTCTAGGATAGAATAAACTGTAAAGAAGGGAATAGAAGATACTTAGCATAAAGAGAAATAGCAATTTTAGTAAACAAAAATAATTTGAATGTTACCCAAGAAAGAATAAAAAATGAAGCAGTGTAACTTCTTATTTCGTTCTTTTTAAAATAGCACATTTTTCAGCAAAAACAAACTGA